GAACCCTGTGATCACATCACAGTGGATGCGCATATGATTATCTCGTCATAGGTAGCAGGTACTTTAAAAAATCCCTTCCACTGCATGCTATGCAGATAAGGTAGGTGCCTGGGAGATCATTGTGTGCATTACCTAAACTTTTAGATTGTAAGCTCCCACAGGCATGGCCTTCTTTACCATCTTGTTTTGATTTGTATTGTAACTGTAATGTCCCTCCTATATTGGAAAGCTCTGGGCAAGCTATTGGTGCTATGTCAATCCTGCAGTATAATAATAATACTATAATAAAGTTCAGTTTGAGGCTGAATTTTCCTTAAAAGTGATTTCTAAATGATACTAAATCACCTCTAGGTGGCACTGTGATTCTCCTAAATTGCAACGTTCTTACCAGCATATAAATCAGAAATGATTGTGCAGTCCATTTTTAGTGGGTGTTGTAGATCAGTGCTCCCCAACCTTTTTAGCGCCGCGGACCGGTCAACGTTTGATCATTTTACCGTGGCCCGCTGAAGGGGGGGCGTTGATTGTTTATATTTTAGATTGTTTGGATTTAATAATTTTAATTTAATTGTATTTAAACATGCCTTCAAAATAAAATACAGTTACACCAAAAAATGAAAGCGTTGGAATTCTTCACCTATTCCACCACCGAAAAACTGGGCAAGATTACGTTAAAATGTGTGACCACGTCACTGGTCACACATTCTAACGTAGTCTCAAACTTTGATAGATCACATGCCTACCTGTAATAATCTAATCAGAGAAATAGATTATAATAGGGAACATTTACAGTGTTATATTCCCCATTATAATCCACTTGTCTAATTACAAGAAAAAGCATGAAATAGCTGTACACAACTACTATCCCCCCCGCCACATATCTATGACCCCTTTACAACCCCCCATCCACATATCCCGGGGGTTGGGGACCACTGTTGTAGATGGCACCCAAATACTAGTTACATCGCTGGGTAGTGTACATAGCAATTACTGGAAAGCGGCAAGAAGGATTAGTAGCACAAAATCGAAGGATTTATAATTCCTTAAAGGGACCCTGTCACAATCTTAAGAATGCAGGGAAAATAAGTATTGAAAGTGCATTTTGTGCAGTGTTTTTTTCCTTTTCATAATTTTTTATTCACTTGCAATGTGCCTTTAAACTTGCCCTGAAATATGTTACTCCTCCAGGAGAAATCAATTTACTATCACAGCCCCCACCCTCTTTCCACTTCATAGAAGCCTCCTCTTCTGGTAGTGTCTAGTTACTGTCTGTGATGGCCTAGCTCCTCCTCACCTCCCTACATAACCTTTTATGTTGCAGCCGGAGGAAGAGCGAGGGGAATGCCATAGAGAATGACGCTTAAATAACAGCTCTGAGTCTGCTTGAACTGATGACATCACAACTGATATATTAGATTTAGATGAACTATCTCATTAATGTTTATCTTCTTTGTGTTTTACAGATGGGTCTGTTGATGCAGAAAGAAGCATTGTCACTGACCTTGTAAGCCAAATGGATCCCCAAGGCAGACGCACCATTTTTGTCTTGACAAAAGTAGACCTTGCTGAGAAGAATGTAGCCAGCCCTAATCGAGTAAAAAGACATTATTATTCCTGCAATATCTACTAAAAGCTTTCTAAAATCCCTCTGTGTTAACTTGTACTATATGACTGATACAATTCTTTATTTGTGATCTTCTCAGATTCAGCAAATCATTGAAGGGAAACTATTCCCAATGAAAGCACTTGGCTATTTTGCTGTTGTAACTGGAAAAGGTAAGAACAATGCACTGTACGTCATTAATGATCTTTTCTAGATTAGGATTTCAGTAAAACTGAAATTGTGGGTGAGCAGAGAGAGGTATGTGAGCTGTCTGCCAGGTTACCAGCAGACAGTTTGCATCCTGTACGCGTGGTCCAATCTAGCTTTATTAGGTCAGAACTAATTTTGAGCCACCAAAGAGAACGGGACACCACACCCCTAAACTTACAATTGTAACAACAAGATCTACAGGAAATGGGGCTTTTAAGGGTTCACCCTAGGCATGAAGGAAACGCACTTATTTTGTGACAGACAAATCACATCTTTGTTAAAAATTGTTGTGGATGAATAACATTTATATAAAATATGTAAACAATCCTACTGGTACTAAAATGTATCTCAGTGGCGGCTCTCTCAAATTCGATATTATCTTTAAATGACTTGGCCTTGAACCTCCCTTGACTCCATGGCCACATTCTATACATAAATAATGTGATCAAATATCTTCAAACATCAATATCCTCATAAACATTAACTTGTCAAGTATTATCACTGCAATTGACATCCTAAAATCTTGCATCGATGTGCAGAGTGGGTCCAGTCTTCTATGAGTTTCGTGAAAGCTTCCTCAGGAAGATAGAAGGCAGCCTATATTTTTTTCAAAGCGAGGTTATAGTTACATTTTACCACCTTGAATAAATTACATATAAATACAATTATACACATACGCCACAAAATGACTAACAAAGTAAATGCCCTCGTCTGGGAACTTCATGGTGAATGGGCCCACATACCAGGGGGACAGTATTCATCGCCAAGGAGACGTAGGGAGCGTACAAAGGTTAGATCACCATCCATGGATACTGTAAAAGTATAATACAATATAACAAAGCCATGAATAAATGAATATACCCATATGCATGGGAGACTACAAGAGTAATCACTCTGATCTAGAAACTGGGATTGGTGGCATAGAAAACATGCAACTCACTCCAGTTTTGACACCTAGGGTGAAAGTACCAAAGCTTCTTGCACCATTATAATGGTACAGGAACGCTTTGGGGAAAATAACAAAGCTTTGTCATTTTCCTCCTAGGTGTCAAAATCCAGCTACACATTATATTACTTTTATTGCATTACTGTAAGTTTATTGATTTTTATCAACATTTAAGTTATTCTTTACCTTAATTTTAATAGGCAACAGCAATGAAAGTATTGACTCCATTAAGGACTATGAAGAAGAATTCTTTCAAGGATCGAGTCTTTTGAAGTAAGTTTTTTTGTCTTGAGTGAAGAGCCATACTATTTATGAAGCGCTCAGAAGGCAGAACATTTGAAGCTAAAATGTTGTGGATCATTGTGTTGCTGCTTTGTTTAAAATGGCACCTGTGTTACTGCTTACCTCCTAGAAAAGGGATGCTGAAAGCTCATCAGGTGACCACCAAGAACTTAAGTCTCGCTGTTTCCGATTGTTTTTGGAAAATGGTCCGAGCATCTGTAGAACAACAGGCTGACGCCTTCAAAGGTAGCATATAGCTGGTGCTTCCATCTTCCACCTACACATCTTAAGATTTTACCTTACCTTTTAACTTTTATTTATGAAAGTATCACAAGGACATTAACACAATTGATAACTTGCATCTAAACAATTACGACTATTAGTGAAGAACTTATGGTGTAGGTGTGAAATAAGGTTAATGTAATTCTTTTTTTTTTTTATAGCTACTCGTTTTAACCTGGAAACAGAATGGAAGAATAATTATCCCAGGCTGCGTGAGCTTGACAGGGTAAAGTACAATATGACACTGTCTTTTAAAGCAGCTCTTATAAACCCAAACTATGTTATTTAAAATAATTGACTTGTATGTAGAATCTGTAGAGGGGATGAATTTGCCGGTGAAGTCAAACAAAAACCACTTTGGCTTCTAGTATGTTATTTGAAGAGCTGATCTCTAGAAATAATAACTGAAATTGAGGGGAGTTTATCAAAGCTGTAGCAGACAAAATCTGGAGCAGCTGTGCATGGCAACCAATCAGCTTCTATCTTTCATTTTAAAATCTTAACTGAACAAACTGAAAAGAGAAGCTGATTGGTTGCCATCGGTAACTTCCAGATTCTTCTGCTCCTGTTTTGATCAATCTCCCCCATTGTTTTTAATTGTTAAATACGGACTAATGTATTTCCTCAACCATTGTATGATTAATACCGTGCACTGTTCCTGTTTTCAGAATGAGTTGTTTGAAAAAGCCAAAAATGAAATTCTTGATGAGGTTATAAGTCTAACCCAGGTTACACCAAAGCATTGGTGAGTAGTTGAAATGTAATTGTTAATTATAGCAGCTTTGTTTCAAATGCAGTGTTATGCATTTAGAGGGTCAGATAAACTCGCACATGCCAGGGAATACTTATAAATATTTGTTGTAATACCTCATGCCTGGGTACATTATAAAATTATTGTGACAAACACTATGTTATGCTTAAAGTGATATTAAAGCCAATTTTTTTTATTTCTTCAAGGAGAACCTCCTTTGCTGGAGGCTGTTTTTTTTTTTTTTTAAAGTCTTGCCTCGTGTTCTAGTGTGTCCCTGCCATGCTCTTCCCACCTGCACAGGTGCCACCATCGTTCTAATGGAGGCACCGGTGCACACTCTTCCCCGCAGCTGCTGTGTGCGTCCATAGACACACACAGCCCTGTGGCAGGCCACGCCCCTTCTTTGATTGATGGCAGAAGGAGCCTATGGCTCCTCTGCCATCAGTATCTGCAACCCGGAAGTTCGGGATACGTAGGATCGCTTTCGGGACCGGCGGCGGGGACGAGCGCAGCTGAGAAGTAAGTGTGGGGGGGACTGGGGTAAAAAAAAAAAAAGGTCCATGGCTGTTTTTACCCTAATGCAGAGAATGCATTAAGGTAAAAAAACGCCCAGACCTTAATACCACTTTAAGACTTCTTTTTTTTTTTTACACAGAACACTGCACCATTCAAAGCTTGCCCTCAAAGGACCTTACGGTTTTTGCCAATGATATGACAGTGGACAAACAGTAGTGCCATATTTTCTCTGCAGATTCATTATAGCAATGTTAGGATTTCTGGAATGCAGAGTGTCCATTCACACCAAAATCAGAAGGAAATCGCAACGCATCAAAGGGTCCGTTGACTTGCAGTTGTACCTTCTGATTTCCTTCTGATCTGTTGCATTGCAATACATTTTTCAACAGATAACGGGAGAGCACCGAAAAATTAATGGGTGTGAATGGAGCTAGTTCACATCAGATCTGTTACGTTGTGCTGAAAAAAGTAGTGCGTGTTAAACTTATTTTTCAGTGCAACCCAAAGTAACGGAGCGTTGTGAACTAGCCACACATATATACCTTATCAGTATCCAAGTGAAAATCACAGGAATACATGGGTGACATCAATAAGGAGTGCAAAATGGCTGATTTTCAACCTTTAACTACCTGCTGTCCGGCGTGTGGGTGTGCGGCCCCCCTCAGCCGCTGCTCGCCATTCCGAGCTCCGCTGTGTCCCCGTTGTGAGCCCGGGACCAGCACAGCAGCTCTGTGGCCTGAGATCAAACGGAGCTCAGTACACGAGCTCAGTTTGATCTCCTCTTCTGAATGCAGGCAGTGATGTGTATTACATCACTGCCTGCATTCAGTGTCACTCTCCGGTACAGAAATCGGAGAGAAGCTGGTGAAGCAGGTCTCTGCTTCATCAGCTTCTCTGGGGGTCCCTGGGTGACATTAGGGTTCTTAAGACCCCTGATGTCTCCATAAAGAGGACCTGTCACTGCAAATTGGTTATCACATAGGGAGCTTACTTGCTCCCTATGTAATAGCAATAAAGTTCAGTGGGAAAAAAAAGGTTTAAAAAAATGTGTAATTAAAAAAAATAAAAAATCTCATATCAAAGCAATAAAAAATTAAATAATTGAAGTTCCCCCACACCCACACGCAAACATGCGTCAAGCCCGCCTACGTGCAAAAACGCCGATTACATCCATTGCGCCGCACATGTTACATATCGCCGCGAACGCCATCAATAATTCTAGGGTCATCAATCACTGATAACACTAAACTGATGAGCGGTAAAAGCTTTTAAAGCGTCGGCTATGGTCAATTTTGGGTATGGTAGTTTTTTGCAATTTAACGGGTGCAAGCAATCTTAAAGCTTGACATGTTTGGTGTCTATTTACCAAAAAATTGGGTAATAATAAATGTTTTATAACATAACGTAGGGAGAATAGGTTTTTTTTAAAAAAATTTGGTACTTTTTTTATTATACAGTAAAAAAAAAAACCCAGTGCTGATTAAATACCACCAAAAGAAAGCTCTATCTATCCCCAAAAAATGGTATAAAATTCAGTTCAGTACAGCGTTGCATGACGGAATAAATGTCAGTCAAAATAACTGCAGGTTGAATACTGAAAAATGGCCTGGTCAGGTAGGGGGTCTAATACCCCGGTCAGCAAGTGGTTAAACCACTGTTTTGAAACCGAGATTCGTCATATTAGAATAGTGACTGTACTAAGCAAAGGTTTTGGTTCTTTTCCAATGTTGCTGAATGGGCCCTAATCCAATCAATGCAATTAAATATTTGCGTTTTGAAAGGGGCTATATAGGGATTGTCCCATGATTGTGAAATCCCTGCGTTTCTGTTTTTGTGAAAGAAAACAGATCTTTAATGCAGTAACATTTTTAAACCATATAATTCAGCATATTTCATGTAAATTATGCATTTGCTTACTTATTGCATTGGTAGTGAAATCATATAAATCTTGCAGTGTGTTTTTTATGTTTTTTTTGTCGCATGAGGACACAAGTGCCATACACTTAACTTGTTTCTTGCCATACACTTAACTTGCTGTCATCAGGTTGTTGGCTGTTAAGGCAACTATTATGTCTTTGTTGGAATGTCATTTTATGAGGTTTTGTAGATCATGTTTTCTTTCCCGGATAACAACTGTGCAATAATTGTTGGTTTTCATGCACTTCCTGTTTTTGGTTATTATTAGGGAAGAGATCCTCCAGAGAATGCTGTGGGAGAGAGTGTCAACCCATGTGATTGAGAATATCTACCTACCAGCTGCACAGACCATGAACGCTGGTACTTTCAACACCACTGTAGACATCAAGCTGAAACAATGGACTGACAAGCAACTTCCTCATAAAGCAGTGGAGGTAAGAGTTGACCTGAGGTGCTGTACACAATAGCACATGTACATATGTGTGATGTTTGTTTTCCAGAGGCAATATTTCAACTTGAACAATATGATACTTACTAAAATAATATAGAGTCCCTATGCGAACAATATACTAAGAAACATTTTTCAGTAATATGGGTCAAAGTGCAGTGGTCTGTGGTTATTCATACCAACCATTCAGATGTGGCCTTTCACCAGTCTGACTACTCCTTACTGACAGGCCATTTCTGGCTTCTAAATAGTACAGTGGGTTAGTGGTTGGCTCCCTGGGTTAAAATTTCAGCTGGAAGAAGTTTGCATGTTCTCCTTGTGCTTGCATGGGTTATTCTGGGTACTTCAGGTTCCTCCCTCACTCAGACATGCTGGAAGGTTATGTGGCTGCTCTCTAAATTGGCCCTTGTATGTGAGACAGTGACCCTTGGTTTTTGAACCCCTTGAAGACAGGGACTGACGTGTATGTAAATTGACTCAGTTATATAAATTCCTGTTATGAATAAGTATACAATAGTATTAGAAGTGTGTGTAAATTGCCATGATGTATGACTTGGTACATATCACAGAAAGGAGAGATACTTGGGTTCAATTGAACACATACTGTGCTATATGCAGTTTTTTTGAATACCAAAATATTCAGCATTACTGAACAGCAACATATATGTTATGGTTGGTGGCCTATCTTCCAAGTTGTCTTTTGTTAATTCAGAAGAAAGTCAGTCCCAATTTTCTTTTCAGGACTCATGAGCTGGCAAAGCAATTAATACAAACCTGTAAGGAGTGTTAAAGGATAAGTTCACCTTTTGCAAAAATGAAAGAAATGCATATTTGGTAATATAACAAAAAAATATGCATTTCTTTCATTTTTGCATTCAAGCCTGGAAAGCATTGTTACAGTGATCACTCGATTAGGGCTGAAGAGCTCAGGCTTCAGCACATTCTCATACTGGTAGAGCTGGGGAAGGATGGCTGGACGGGAATAAGGACAGCTCTACCGCATCTAACAAGAGAGAGGTTGGCTTGATGCTTTATAAGGGGATTTTTTTATCCAGTTTGAAGTCCAGCCGTCCCTCCCCATCTCTCCTAACTTAAACGCTGTACCTAAGTACAGAGCTCTGCCTGGGAGAGAATGTGCAGAAGCCTGAGCTTTGCAGCCCTGATCGAGTGATCACAGTTGCAATTCTTTCCAGGCTTGAATAGAAAAATTAAAGAAAAGCATATTTTTTGTTATATTAAATATGCATTTCTTTAATTTTTGGAAAAGGTGAACTTAGCCTTTAAGTCCTGGGAAACAGCAGAATTACCAGTGACCTGTTTCTTTCTTTTCCTCCTTTGGTTATATGTAAACAATGTTCTGTGCACTTGTTAAGCAATGTTGTCTCTACATATCCAGGTGGCTTGGGAAACCCTTCAGCTAGAATTCTCCCGCTTTATGATCGAGCAGAAAGGCAAGGAACATGATGACATATTTGACAAGTTAAAGGAATCTGTGAAAGAGGAGAGCATCAAGAGACATAAGTGGAATGAACAAGCAGAGGACAGTCTGGTGGGTTCCATCATGATTTTAAGTTGTCAACTATGTAATATAATTTATTTTGTGATTCTGTTTTTTGGGGGTTTTTTTATAGGTGGGGGAACAGTTTATTACTATAGTTTGTTGGTGCACCTGACGTAAGAAGATATATTCCACTTCTGAAAATTATTCTTTATCCAATAAGTTATTTATTCCTGGAATCACAGCACAGACATTCTTCTGCATTGGGGCATGTAGTTGTGATGCATGCATGTGTTCCCACCACGGAAGTAGCTGGCAACTAAAACGACAGCTCCCATGAGGCCACAGTGTTCTACGAGCTCTGAAGGTGTTCACTGGGGAAGTATTTGACACTGATTCTACCCCAGTGCTTCACTGCTCCAGTATGTCGGCAGCCAGACCAGTGTTTTAAGTCATTCTGTGTCCTTATGTCTGTGAAGGTTCTCATTCACCCAGGTCATGGTATATCTGTAAAAAATAAGTCTAGGCAACTGGACTTGCTATATTTTTCTTGAAGACGTTTCACTGGTCATCCGACCAGCTTTCTCAGTTCAGAATCACTTGTACAAAAATTATCTATTGTCTGCCACATACAATGCTGTTTTAACACCTCTCTCTGGGCAGGTTATTAACACCTCCTAGACTCCAATTATGCAAATGCGATCAACACCTGGTTGTGACAGATTATGTGGTTTGGAACAACATTCACCATATTTATTCCCAGAGAAGTTTTGTACAAGTCATTCTGAATTGAGAAAGCTGGTTGGATGACCAGTGAAACGTCTTCAAGAAAAATACAGCAAGTCCAGTTGCCTTGACTTATTTTATAACTATATGAAATGGGTGAATCGGTATAATTCAGGAAAATTCAGCTTTTATGCAGATCATTCCGGTCTAGTCATTGTGATATGAGTAAAGATGATTGAAGCCTGTGTGATCTGGTACATTCATAATCAGCAGCACTCCTGACAAACCATTTCTTTCTTGATCGGTTCGTTTTGTAATACTGAACACCAGGCAGATATACAATGCACAAATAAATGCAGCTTGGTATTCGATTCAGTACTTCTTTAAGTGTTTTTTTCTTCTTATGTTGTTACTTTTTTAAATGCAAGCAGTGTAAGTACCTGAATCTGACTTGGTTTCAGCCTCTTGCAATCTTACGGTACAGTGTGTGCAGCTTAAAGAAGGGATGGGAAAAAGTAGCACAAGGAGCTAATCATTTGCACTACAGTGCTAGAAGCATGCTGACCGGAAGAAAGAGCAGATTGGCAGAGGGGTGAACTGATCAGAGTGCTACTTCTCTTTTTTTACTGTCCAGTCACGGAATGGGGAGGAGACCTGTGAGTGAAAGTGAAACTGCAGCAGGGAAAAATCAGGTCCCATGCCCTGCTAGACAGGGCAGTGCTGGTGTGGCAGTCCTGTGTTAATCTCAGGACTGAATGGAAATAAATAAAAAATCCTTTGGCAGGTAAAATAGCTTTGCATTTCATCTGCGTATTTCACGGTTTGCCTGGAGTTTAGCTTAAAATGTAGCTTGTGATGTATATTCAAGAGCTAATATTGCTCAGGTATAGTTATACAGTATTTATGAGATGTATAATACATATATATACATTTTTTAATTTTTTTTTGCTTAGCGAGTAATTCAGCACAATGCTTTAGAGGACCGTTCTATCTCAGACAAGCAACAGTGGGATGCTGCAATCCAATTCATGGAGGAGACCTTACATAACCGCTTAAAAGACAGTAAGTCATTTCTTAATATAGTGCATCAAATGCTTCTTTTGTGTGGTTTGACCTAATGTATATAAATTAAGCATGGCCAGGTATAAGGAAAAAATGACCTGCATATGGTTTCTAGTTTTGAAATGGAAGTTTTACACATTGTGCATGTGTTCTGTGGCGGCCAGAAGGAGGGACATCAGTTAGTGGCAGGGAATATAGTATACAATGGCGCAAACTGGATTATGGAATAGAGCAGTGTCGGCCGAACACTGTTTGCAGCCTACCTACAGGAGATGCATTCATCCACGCTGTTAGCGTGGATGAGGAATCTGCTGGATTTATTTTGTTCAGCTTCGCAGGCTAAACAAAAATGAATCTCTCTGTGTGCGCCCAGCTTTAGTCTCCGGTTAGCTTTCTGTCATGACTAATAAATAAAAGCAGGTTACACTGCTTATGCTGGGTTTCCATTTTTCAGCTGAATCTGTCATTCGAGGTATGGTAGGGCCCGATTGGAAAGAGCGGTGGTTTTCTTGGATGTCTCGTACTCCGGAGCAGGCAAGTTCACATGAAAATGTTTTTATATTTTTTTTAATACTGGGGCATCTTTTATAACATTGTATGTTTCCTGAATGTAGAACACACGAAATGAAACCAAAAGTGAGTTGGAAAAGATGCTGTATGTTAATGAAGATCATCCTGCATATCTTGCCAGTGACGAAGTCACCACAGTCAGGAAGAATCTAGAAACACGGGGGATCGAAGTTGACCCAGTTTTGGCAAGTACCAAATTAAATACACCAAACCTAGTATAAAAAAAATGAGTGTGTGTGTACAATACTTTAGAGAGTTGTATAGTACTCAGGAGAACACATGGGTGGCTCTGTCTTTATCGGCAGGGTATTTTTTTCTGAAAGGATATCTAAACCCAAGAACAATAATATAATTGGCTGCAGCTCACCAGTCCTTAGATTTGTTGCCTGCTTTGCTCTAATTTGTTTAGGCTTAAAACATCCGTGTCAATTCCTTTTAACTGGGTCGGAGTGACAACAGGAAGATGAGGCGGGGTCTTCTGTTTTTTTCCTGGTCAAGTCTTGATAGAACCTTTTAGGCTGGGTTCACACCTAGGCGTATTGAATAGGAATGTGCAATTTACAGGATTACTTAGAGAAAAGACTGAATAATGAAAATGGATGCAGCCACATATAGTGACTAGTAAGCTGCAATATATATAATTTTTGTCTTTGGGTTTTTAGATATGCTAGAACTTTTAGTTAGTAAGAGGCCAAGAACTTCTCTGCCAAAAGCACAATACGAACTGAGGTAGCTGCTTGATTCCTATTCCTGAGGGGGTCCACCCTCTAGCCTGGAAATTTGTAGGTACATTCTCCGAAAAATCTGGGCTGACACCGTGCGGCTAAGCCAGCCCACTAAAAGACTGTAGTACTCTCTGTCAGCAGTAAAATAGCCCCATTAATGCTCTTTGTGCTGGATATTAAACCTTGTTGGTGGCCTTGACTAATAGTTTCCCGCACTCTTTTACTTAGCAAAGGTGCAAGCACTACAGTCTTTCACTCATTGTTTGCGACACATATGGTCTGCCATCTTTGACTCAACAGCCCAGGAGCTACTCGATCGGTTTCAGCAAATAATATAACCCATGCCTGCTCCCCTAATCAACATCAGAATGCTCTGGGGCATCATGTGAGTTTGAAACGCCAACCAGCAGTTTACTCATCACATGGTAACTATCTCTCACTTTGTTCCTAGAAATGGCTGAGCAGCAACACATGACAGGCAAGGGGAAGTTGACTTCCTGCAGTTCCTGTTATGCTAACCTTCTTAGAGAAGAACCTAAGGTTGCCTATCCCCTCATAACTGCAATGTTTCAATTACATGCCAACATACCTGTACCCCTTACATACACGTGCAATATTTACCTTATCTTCCAATAAAAAATTTATTGTATCCTGTGTGTGAAATAATCACCATTTGTTCACTGGGTTGCTGATGCTTTCCACACAGGGGTGTCTTTTTTTTTCTTCCTTTGCTTGTCTGTGTTTTATTAAATTACGGTCATAATTTTTGTCAAAAATGTAAAACTTTTGCAGATCAAGGACACGTGGCACCAAGTTTACAGAAAACATTTCTTAAGATCTGCTCTCGGTCACTGTAATTTGTGCAGGAGAGGATTCTATTACTATCAGAGGCATTTTGTGGATTCTGAGGTAAGAATTGATTAATTATTTGTGAAATAGAATCTGTTGAATGGCCACAGTGAATTGTATTGCGTGACACCTCATGCTTAGAGGCATGCAGCTGCAGAAATTGGCATTTCTCTTCAGACTGGCCAAATCATGTGTTTTTGTAATACGACGTGGAGCTTTGGAATATATGTCAAACATTCAAACAGTGGACAGTGCCTATCGCATGATGAAGTGAGTAAGAAAAGAAAAAAAATGACCCTCATGTGGTTCTTTACATGTTCAATTGGCTGATCATAGTTTGAAAAGCAGGGGGTGTACAGCCTTTACACTGTGAAAACAGTCACAGGGTTGGAAACATGCTTCATATGTCATCTTCTTTCACTGCAGTTCATTGTGTGGTCTGCCCTAGCCACTGTGTAAGCCTTTCTAGCTGGCACCGTGTGACTTAACGTGTCTAGTGCAGAGTTGCTCGGTTTAAACCAGGCTTGGCCTGTGTTTTCATTTTCCTTCTTTACAAATTAGTTTTGATTAGTAAAAATGTCTTACTTTTTTTGTGCCAGAGTAAACTCCTAAACGCTACTTGATATGCGACGGTAGCACAGTGTCCGCCATCGATCAATGCAGAAATTTTTTAACTTTCGTGCAACAACTTTCTTGGCTAACTTGATTTAATTAGGTTACAAGCATTCAACTTATTAGGCTTCTTTTGTGTAATGCCTTACAAGGAAACCGAACGTGTTAAAAAGCTTACATTTTTATTAACTGAAGTTTAGCAATAAAGGGTATCATAGTGACTGGCTCGGTAGGAGAGCAGAAGTCTGACACTCCCAGAAGACAGCAGTTTATCTTTCATGCGGGAGAAATGAAGCGTAACAACAACTAAAAAAATCTAAAGTTTTAAAGTGACACTAAACTGAGGAGTTAAATCTTAGAAATGCATTCAAGTTCCTTAACTATTAACAAACATTTAGTTGATTTTGTTTATCACTCAGCTATAGATCCTCAAATCATCTCTGATCCTGTCCGATCCTCCAGCACTGACTGGCGGAACGGACGGGGGCGGGTACAGCTGGCTCTGCCTCTAGATAGGCAGAGCCAGCTGTCACTCACGCAGCTGGGTGGATCCAGACAGTAATGTCGGGATCCGTCCCGGCTGTGTTGTCTCAGTATACCGCAAGCTGTAGCTTGCGGTATACTGAGCTTTGGGTGAGGGGAGGATGCTAGTTTGTGTCCTCCCGTTACCCTTAGGAGAACTATGGGGAAAAGCCCAAACCCCATAGTTCTCTTAAATATTGCTCATATCTATGGCTCTGTATGTTACAGAGCAACTTATACATTGTCCTATTGATATGCAAATTTCTAAAAAACACAAATAAAAACTTCTAAAAAACACAAATAAAAACTATCTGATTTAAAAAAAATAAAAATATTGCTCATATCCGTTGTCTGAATTTATGCTGAGCTCAAAAGGCAAATTTTAAAGAACATTTAACAGAATAAAACTATTAAGTGAACAAGAAGTTTATTTATAGGTTCAATTACATTTTTTTTTAAGTTATTTGTGCAGTATGTACAATTCCTCTTACCCATGTGGGGTGCTCCTAAAGTATTTATGTACCCTTTGCTCCATATCTTCTGCTAAGGGCTCTTTGACACCCAGATATGCAGCTTCTTTGAGATCTTCTTTTTTCTAGGGAAGGTCTGGGATCATAAATAGGGATATACCGATACTAGTACCGGTATCGGTGCTGAGTATTTGGGTGAGTACTTGTACTCTCCCAAATGCTCTGATGCCTAGCCCAGTACTTCCGGTATCAGGAAGCCAGGCAGTGAGTGATTACACGCTGCCCGGCTTCCTTATTGGCCGGGAAGCCTGGCTTCCTTAATGGGACTCCCGGTTCGGTATCGGCGAGTACTGAAAAAAAAAATTGGTACTGGATGCCAAAAAACCGACATCAGTGCATCCCTAATCAGAAGTGTTCTGTAGGTGAGAATTTAGTAGGATATCCTCTGACAACCATCCGCCTTAAAGCACCATGTTTCAATGCCATGTCCAGACCATTAGGAAGTGATTCGCAAATGCTGCAGAAGACACCCCATTGGTGGTCAATATGGAACCACTGGGTAATGCAAGGATAACCTCTTTTACAGTTTTTTAAATTTCTTTCCCATATTGTAATGTTCTTGTTTATTTTAGCTGGAATGCAATGATGTGGTTCTTTTTTGGAGAATACAACGGATGTTGGCAATCACTGCAAACACCCTGAGGCAGCAGCTAACAAACACAGAAGGTAAGATTTGGAGAATGGTGTTTGTGATCTTCGTTGCTGGCCAACCAGATCTGTAGGGACTGTGTCTGCAGTAGTAAAAAATATTGTACTCTGCAAAACTGAACTGGCCTAAGGAAAGTATGGATGTTTTCAGCCCCTAAGCTTTATCTATAAGAATTAGGGATGCACAGATACTTTTTGAGTACCAGTGCAGATACTTGGCATTTTCATGAACTACCAGGGTGGTAGCGGTTGCAGCTGGGGCCTGGCTCTGGCGCTCCAGCACTGTCCTGAAATCATTTGTCTGTATTGTTTTAGAAAAACTGTCACATGACAATAAACAAAAATGTATCAGTACTTGTAAGTACTCGGCAAGTACCAGTACTCGTACTCGCAAAACTGGTATCTGTGCATCCCTTTATTTATATTTATAAAAACAAAATCATACATTAAAACCGAGATGTACCAATCCCCAGGAGCTCTGTGTGCGCCTTACAAATGACAGCTGCCTCCTAATTTTTGAATTTTTCTCTAGTGTAGTCTTGGAGCTCAAAAGTATCGGTACATGTACTCGTACTTGTACCGAGTACTGTACTTGGTATCTGTGCAACCCTAATAAGAATATCTGAAGTATTTGTCTGAAAAAAAATTAGAAACTCTTCCATTTTTTTTCTTCTGTGTTTTTATTTTAAGGGGCACAGTCTTCTAACTGAAAATTGATGGTCTGTAAAGATCTTAAAGTATTTTTTTTTTTATTGGAGACCTATCAGGCTGCCATTGCTGACCACTTTCTAAAAACATTAGTTGCCTGGTTGCTATTTTGACCTACTGTCTGTAACTTTCAGAGTTACTGACCATGCACAAGCACCCAGATCAGAAACGTCAGAGAAAGGGTGTAATGAGTTTGTCGGTCAGTGTTCGATTGACAGCTAGGCATTTAGCATTTTCACTAGATGCCAGCAATGGCACGGTCCATGTTTCTTTTATGACAGGTTGACATTATGCGACTTCGCATTGATAAGTTTATGTTTTTGTTTATTTATTTTTAACTTATGAACCTTACTATGTTACTGTATACAAGCACCCTGTGATTTTTTTTCAACAAATGTGGTGTTAAAGAGGGACTGTACCCATGCCTTTTAAAAAGACAACAGTCACCTTTTAGAAATGTTTAGTAATGACAACCTACAAACACTTCTAGATAATTGCAGGCTTTTTTATATTCTTTGCATCCCTTATTTTTCTTCATTTTTCTCACGGTGGCCATTTTTATTAAGGGCAGATTAATATATGTCTTTTTACTTCCTGGAACTCTGGCACATGTGACTAGGACATGCGACCATGCATGTCCTCTCAAGGGAAACAAATGTATTTCTCTGAGATCTTGCAAGATTATGCAGTTTACAGATGAGGTTTCCCAGCAATGTCCTGTGATGTAACCTTCCCAGGATTCATATCTTAGGCACAGATTACATCACTAATGCCTAAGAGGGCCAGGAAGTGGAAAAACAGTAATTGTGAGTAAAAGAAAAATCTGTTTAATCAATATAAGATATCAGCATACAGAGCTTCATGCTAATGTGATTTTTAGTGATGGAGTAAAGGGCCGCTTTAAGAGTTATCTTTACAATATACTTCACATGCATTTTGCAGCATGTTGGCTTAAGCTCGCCATATACTAGGCAATTTTTTATCTCATTTAGCCAGCACTAAGCTGCATGGATGGAGAAATCTTGCCTATGGGCCCCGGCTGTCAAAGTACCCACCGTTTTACTCCTGGCTACTTCAACAAAAGTCATTTGACTCGGTCAAAAGTGAAGCAGTGTGTGGCCAACTTTAGTCTTACATTTGGTGACATGTCTTTAGCTGCCTGCAGACACAATGGTGACAATTAGATATTCACTGGCTGATGCTGTTAAGTGAAAAATTATTTAAACTGCTGTTGTTCAACCCTGAGATAATCAGTGTCAGCCACTGCCCATACTGCATTACCCCGAAACTTTACTACCTGAAGGCCATTTGGATTGTGTCTGCATATCTGACCACCCTCAATGTCAGTGGACAGCCTTAATTGAATGGGTCGGGTTCTATGGTTCCCCCTAGGATAACAGTGGTGTCTGCTGGGAGAATGGACATGCATGTACAATATGTGTGCATGCCTGTGTGACAGTTTGTAGAACTAAAAGGCTAGTTAATTCATCTGATCATCATCTAATGGCCGTGGGCAACTTTACTCAGCACTTTTTCTGCTTATCTTTCTTGCAGTCAGGCGATTAGAGAAGAATGTGAAAGAGGTATTGGAAGATTTTGCTGAAGACGGTGATAAAAAGGTTAACTTGCTAACGGGAAAGAGGGTCCAACTAGCAGAAGATCTAAGTAAGTGCGGTCTCTTCCTTTCTGTATGGTTATATGCAGAAGGGCAAAATTAAATTCATGTGTGGTAAAATGGCAAAATTGTTCCAAATACGCAATATTATTCTAAAGTGTATGTAAAAGTTTACCTACTTCCTGGTTGTATATTAAACCGTAGACACACCAGTAAACACTGTAACACAAATAACCACTTGTGCACATTTTTAAATACCTTTTGGGCCCAAGCACACAAGCAGCTGAACCTGAACAACATAAATTCTTGTGTACAGCTGCCCATGAACACAAATCCCCCTGTATTTTGGCAACCTGCATCCATAAAGCGGCTATAGGCAAGTGCTGATGTATACCCATGTGCATCCATTGATTTTTATGGCAGGCCATGCACAGCACACGTGGCTTCTTGGTGGGGGAAATACACCATATTTATGTTGTACAGTTTTAAACTGTCCATGTGCAGGAGCCCTTTTAGTCACTTAACGTGATGGAAGGTTCCAGGCTGGAGCATGTCACATGTGGTTTTGACATTGCTGTCAACCCATGTTACTAAGTACACTATTCTGCTACAAAATGACAGTGAGGGCCCCTGAAGGAGCCACTGTCAATCACTGATGGAGCTCCCCTGCAAAGTGTTCTATTTTAATTCAAAATCTTTTGTTAAGCAGCTTGGCCACTAATGTAAGGATATTTTAAAAGCTTGCAGAAGATAGATATTCTCTATTTCATAAGTTCAGATGACTTTACATTTCTAATCAAAGGGTGTGGTAGTACTAGCTGGGGAGAAATGTGGAAATGCACAGCTTCCTGCCTGGGCAAAACTGGAGCAAGAACAGAGAGAGTGGAAAAACACAGAGGCTCAGCAGATAAAGTATTGCCACTCTAAGAAATGAAGTACAGGGAACTGGCAGGATCACCACATATGTGTTATGTACCCATCTCTGTGATCCAGCCGAAAATCTAACAGAACTTAAAGGATAAGTTTACCTTTTGTAAAAATTAAAGAAATGCATAATAAATAATATATATATATATAAAAATATGCATTTCTTTTATATGTGTATTCAAGCCCGGAAAGCATTGTGATCACTCGATCACACCTGCAAAGCTCAGGCTTCTGCACATTCTCTCCCAGGCAGAGCTCGTACTGAGGTGCAGAGTTTCAGTTTGGAGAGATGGGGGAAGGACGGCTGGACTTCAAACTGTATTAAATCAACTCCATACAGTATCCAGCTGTCCTTCCTCTGGTTAAATACGGTAGAGCTGCCCATATTCCCGCATCTACCTTGAGCGAGGATGGCTGGACGCCGTATGAGGTGATTTAATGCAGTTTCAACTCCAGCCTTCCCTCCCCCCCCCATCTCTCCTAACAAAGTCAGCTCTGCCTGTGAGAGAATGTCAGAAGCCTGAGCTTTGCAGCTGTGATCACAGTTGCAATGCTTTCCAGGCTTGAATGCACATATTAAAGAAATGCATAGTTCTATATATAATATTAATTATGCATGTCTCTAATATTTGTAAAAGGTCAACTTATACTTTAAACTTGCGTATACAGGGTATAATGCTTTTTATTTTGTCATTGTCTATTCTGCATATCGGCAGTTAAAATCTAATGACTTAAATAGGTCCTCCTATGAAAAGTTTATCCTGCTTTCCAATAGACTGTAGGATGTGAGGCATAATGAGATGATGATGCTAAGCATAGCAAAGCAGTCACAGCCCCCTTCTTTCTGTCTGCTGTTTTGCTGTCAGGGACAGTTTAAAGGATACCTCCAGGTGAGCGCGTTCCTAAACTGCCAGCTGGCACACTTTAGTGTCACATGTCAGTGTAAAAGAAAGAAGTTCCCCTCTTCCCCTGTCATAGTGGTCTACATTGTGTACATGAAGTGATGGAAGCTTACCGGATGGTGTAATCTGGTAGTTCACACTTGTCCAGACTTGTCTGCCTTGCTCTGGACTCCGTTCTGATGTTAATTAGTAGCAGGGTTGCTATGTTACCGTCCATTATTTTTTTTAGGGTAAAAGTGTTTTTATTGTGTGCTTGTTGCTAAGTGATTTTATCAGATGGAGCATTGTTTTGCAGTTCCAATCATAGTTTTTATTTGATCTACACAAGTAACTCTTTGTTATAAACTATTTCCCTGATACTCTGTGCTGGCTTATATCTGTGTGTTCAGCTGACTGCAATGCACGTTCATACTACACATGATGCAAAGATGCAGAGGACATAGAGCTTTGATAATAAAACATGAGAAAAAGCAGATTTTAGAGGTTTTCTACATTAAAGCATATATAAAACAAAAAATGCAATATATTGCAGCTTACCATTGCATTCACACTAAGCCGATTGCTGCGCGATTTCGTGCATTTTTGATGCGCGATATCGCGAGAAGTCGCCGGCCAATGATTTCAATGGAGCTGTCTTAATGTACAGCTCCATGTCGCGGTCGCAAGTCGCTCCTACAGGACCCTTTTTTCAGCGGATTTTGCGCAATTTTTCATTTTTTTAATGCAGCCCACGGGTGAAGGTCGCGCTAGCGTCGCTGGAACGCCGTCCCGAAAGTCGCGCTATCCCAGGCGCGCGGATTCCCTCCAAAAGGTATGTCGCTTAGTGTGAATTGGGTCTAAATGTGATGGCTGCATTTTGTTTTTTTTTATGCTTTTTATCCTTTTTTTTTTTTTTTTCACCCGGTGATCCAGCCAGTAACACACTTCCTGTCTCTGGATGTCTCCAGTCTATGGAGGAGCAATGGAGCCACCCTTGGACAGCAGCATTGTCAACCTGTGCAGAGGGTAGTGTTAGATGGACTTGATTAACAAATTTCAGGTGAACCCCAGCTGACTTGGTTTTTTTTTTTTCTTTTGGGAAATAATAAAGGTTTTCCATAAATGTGTAAAAGCTGACCATTGTAATAACCCCTGTCAGTGGGAAATGGTTTGTCTCAACTAATTATGTGAGTGGGGCTTGCAGGTGTGAACCAGGTTCGCATGAAGATGTGACTGACTCAATTGATTGTTGCCGAGACATTCCCTGAACCCCATGGCTACAGGTCACAAAGGGGCAGGGAATGCCCCTGCTATAACTGAGGGGGGTGGCTTGCTCACAGTTTTGTGCAGACTTGGGTCCACACAAAGCCTCTGCACATCCTTAGTCTTAACCCTTTATCTTCCACTTTTGCTGGACATCTTGATCTGTTAAAGGAAGATGAAAAATAACAGATTAACTTGTCAGCCACCACATTTAAGAATTGTTTGCTTTTGGCTTTAGATACACTTTAAAAATGGAGAAAGAGAAGAGGTAATGCGACTACTTTTTGGTCTTTTTACCTGTCCCTTCCCTGGACTGTGGTAAGAGTCAGGTAGACCTAGCACAGCACTGCACCAACACCCACTTTACACTGGTTGGCATTTAGCAGACATCAGGGGGGATGCTTATAAAGACTAGTGCAGGTTTAAAGCCGGTTACACTCTTTGAAACTGATAAAATAGAGCAGATCTGCTCCAAAATAACAAAAGGTTGCAAGCCTATTTGTTAATTATGAGCGATGTGCTCTATGTTTTATAATCAAGAGCAGGAGCTGCTTACTCCACCTCCCTTTTTTATGTTGAAAACTGATACGACCTCATTGTTCATTAGACAGAACACACACCAGTTTCTATTTCATACTGAAACATAAACTGGCATGGGTGAAATGGGTCTACCTGCTTTGGTAATGTGGTGCATGCCATTCATACCAGTTTGCAGCTTCCAGCATTAATTCTTCCTGTAATGCCTCTCTAAAATAATACACACAGATGTACTTGTATAAGTGGATAATACAGCATAGATTATCACCTAATGCAATAAGAAACACAGAAAATCAGTTCTAATCACTGAGAAAAAAAGATTGCTTTGTTAGGCTTCATTCACACCTGCTAAAAAGGTGAGTTTAGAGACTCCTGCCCAGATATGCATTGCATAAGCGGCATCTGTCACCCGTTCAAGTTAATGATCGGGAGACAGCGGCCGCATCTGAAAGTGGCAGTGCGCTGGCACACCACATGTAAGATGATCACTATCTCTGGATGCAAGATCGATAAATCCGGGAATAGTGATCTCTACCTAAACCCATGTAATCGTATCACATATGATGTGCCAGCGTACTGCCACTTTCATATGCAGCTGCTGTCACCTGATCATTAACTTTTAATGGGTGACGGCTGCCACTTCTGAGCTGCATATTTGGGATTCCTGTCACAGGACATTGTAGGTTCCTGCTGCAGGAATCTCTAAGCGCACCTTTTTAACAGGTGTGAATGTAGCCTAACATAGAGCGCAATACAACAACTTATAGCACAATGTTAGCTGCAGTTCCAGAGTCCTAAGATTCAGTGTGCACAGGGGGTGGGAACTGCAGTAACTTTCTCTTATCTAGAGGAACCTGACTCTATAGAAGTTGTGCACATCACATGGGACACAGCAGCAGTGAGTGACAGGAAGGGTCCCTGCTGCAATACTTTTCAGTAAAAAGTCTGAGGCACATAGAGAGAAGGAGGTGGAGAAAAATCAAAGAGCAGCACTGTTTTTCCACCAAGCACCAGAGACAGAAGCAGATGGGACAGAAATATATGATGTTGGAGTTCCACTTTTATGCCATACAAGGTGGGACATTTCGAACAATAGGGTTGACTTCATTAAGAAACAATGGGGGTTATTGGTGCTATCACGTCACAGCATGATACTTAATAGTAGATAATAAATAAAAAAAATATCTCTATGTTAGCCAGGAATGCGTTAACAAAAATCAGCTACAAGGCACTATACCACTTACAATTACCGTAAGTGAAAGTATAAATACAGCCACAATGAGCCGAGCTACAAAGTCATGCATTTACCTAAACTCACACAAAAAATCTAACACCAACTTAAGTATAATATAACAAAAACATATGTCAATTCAAAAGTCATTAGAAAAACTTATTGCATATAAAGCCTCAATGTGAAATAAATCCAACATAATGTGCATATA